AACTTTTAATGGTAGTGTGAAAAATTTGCCGGGAATCAGAAATTCGGGGCAAATTTGCCCCGAATACGGATTAAGGGGATACTATTTTTAGGCGAAATTAATTTGTGATTAAATTTATTGCATCAATGTAATCGATGTAACATGAAGTTCTGTCATAATATTAATAATGAATTGTAGCTGAACTTTTGAAATTCGCCTCTTTCTACAAAATGTCGAATTTGATAAAAAAAGAATATCGTATCAAAGAAGACGTAGTTAAGGCGCAATTCTCTCCTGATATTCAAGAATATGTATGTTAAAATAATCAGTTTAATATTGATTTGCTAATTAACTTTTTACCTAACCAATTCTTTTTTAGATTTCACGTGATTTATTTGATACTAGGATCAGGGGGTTTAATACGGCAATAAAAAGTTGTGCTGTAAGCAAGAGTTTTTATGTATCTCTCTACATTTTTACAACTTTATTAGCATTATTTATAGGAATACCAGTAACAGTCTCAAATGACTATAAGTATTATGGATGGTATATTTTCTTTATGGCTTCAATGTGTGCATATTTAATTGCACTTTGTATTCATTTAGTAGTTAGCATTGAAAACCAGAAAACTGGAAGTATTTTTAAATGTTTTTTTTTTCATTTATGTTAACATTTTAAAATAATTTTTTTTTTTGTATTGTTTATAGAAAATGAAGGAGGTTGAAAAGGTGATGGAACGAGTAAACGGTTTTGATAACATCAATCATATCTTTTGGAAACTAGAATTTACTGATAGTTATGTCATGGAAGGATATAGAAAAAAGTATTATGTAAGATTTTACTCTTTTTATAGAATAAGCAATGAAAGTATTTCGTAAATAAGAAAAACCTTGGGTTATAAAAGTGTAAAATTCTGATACCATTATTATTTTTATCATAGTTTGTAATTCTTGAGTTAAGCTCGCCGGCAATAACTCAACAAGTGACAGTTAATACGGTAATATCACCTCCAGCATATACAGCACCTACGGCACCAACACATACAACAATCATACCTATAGAACCAACTTCTCCAACTTCTACAGCACCAACCTCTACAGTTCCACAGCAGCAAATTATTTTAATAACAGGAAATACATCTACATTACCATTAAGCGATGGTACACAAACTACCCAAATAATTTCAATAGACCATTCGCAATTAAATCAAATATTAGCTATTACTCAACAACAGCAGCACCAGGATAATTTAACAACTCCACCTACACCTCCACCAAAAGATTAACTTTCATATATGTTACATGTCATTTTTAATCTCTAACGATCGTCCATAATATAAGCAATTAAATAAATGTTAGAAAGTGTATGTTAAGGTTAATTAATCTTTATTTATTAATAAGTTAATTGGATTATTAATCCGTAAACCAGGTTAACTAGTTATTATCAGAAATGTCCTATGTGATCACTGAATGATTTCCTTGTAGCTTATTCGATCACCTCCTAATGCAACATGCTCACCTCTTACTAATCAATCAGTGCGTACGTCAGATATGTCGGATAAAAAGTTATCAGTCGAGCCTTTAGTAGATGAATAATAAGTTATCATCTATGATACTAGAGTTTCAATCCGTTAAGCGTTTATCCGGATAATTATCAGATATCCATTATCTGTTATCAAAGTATCCTGTTTATTATTGATATCCGAATAATTATCCGAATATCAGTCGAATTATTCAGATATCAATCTATATATCCGCTCTGAATTATCCGGATAATTCCAAGTATGAATAATGGATGACGGATTTATCCGGATTGGAACTCTATTCGACACGACTGATAATTAGTACTTATCTGTAATAGACTAGATTTATGATTACGTTTATTATGAGTGTTTAAGACCCCGAATGAGTGTTTAGGCTCAAAATCCTTCAAAGTTAAAATGTATAAATATAACGTCCATACTAATAAGGTGCTTCCCAAGAATAAATTCCCAACTAAATTACTTTCCTTAATAATAAACTACCATTAAATCCGAATTCCTAATAAACATCCATTTCGTGTAATTTATGACATGCCGAAAACTAATTTATCATGCATAAACTTTGCACTTCCAATTCTGGACGTGACACTTAATCCTTATATCTTTAGGTCGCGTTTGTGGGTAATTATCATTTGATCACGTGTCTTCTGCCAGGTCACCTTTCCTTTTTACAACGTATGTATGTTGAAAAAGTGCAACTATTCCAAAGTAGATATAAATCTGAAATATTAGTCATACTAGTAACAGCCGATAACTAATATTAAAACATTAACCAAACCCTAATGATGGAAAACCTCGATGAAGGCGTGGAAAGATTTTGTCCGAGTAATTAGAGCTTAAACTACATTACGAGCACTATCTGGAGGAATTACTAAAAAAGTGGGAATCTTTAAAACTTCCGGTTGTTACCGATATGGGATTGGCGTAGAACAAATGAAGGCAAATTTCATAAATGTCTACATAAAGTTAAATTGAATAATATTAAAATAATTGGTGAAGGAGGATTTGACTCTGAATTTAGTTAAATAGTATACGAAAGATTGAAATAATTAAGGATGATAATTGATCGTGAAAAATCGGCGTCGTTGCACTTGTTTTATTTAATTTGTATTAACTGTATGAGTGGTATAGATGTCACCAATTTATAATTAATTTCATGTTAATTTAGCGTATATAAGTAAAATGAATAGTTATTAACTGAAGTATTTGAAGTAGATCATTAAGTTCGTAAGTACATACTGTATTTATTATTATTAATCGCTTCTCATTATTTCATTCGAACTGTTTTAAAATATACATCACATATTACAACTTGGTTTTTACGTACGTACAGTATGTAATTATTAAAATCAGACGGCGAAGCCGCTTGAGTGATTATGTTCTAGTTTTACCAAGAATAAAGCCCACTAAACAAACCATTTACAGATATAAACCACAGCAGTTCACGTGCTGGGGAGTTTTTATAGTGATCCTAACTGTGTAAATATTAGTCGGTTAACCATAGCTATTTAAAAAAGGATAATGCGGATATTCAATTAACCGGTTAATATCATTAAGTTTTTATCACAAAAATATCACGTTATAAACTTTTGATAATAATATAATATATGACTAATATTATTTTAACTATATCTTAGCCATCACTATCGGGATTTTGGTTATAAGAATCATGAATAATCAGAATCTTATACTTGCGCCTTAACGATTGGAATCAGTATATGGGGTCAAGATTAGATAGAACCCAAAATGTTACGAGTACTCATAATTTCTGATTTTATAAATTAATGATCCAAAACTTGAGTCCAATTCTATGAATCAAATATATATAAATTAAAAGACATTTAATATGATTTTCTATAAGTATAGTTAAATTACACCAACATACTCTGCAATGAAAGCAGAACCAGTTTCTATAATTTCTATAATGTTCCCTTGAAGTATTGATATATATATAACTTAAATATATATCTATCAAAATTAATTCCTAAAAAGTAATATACAGTATATTTTAAAACAGTTCGAATGAAATAATGAGAAGCGATTAATAATAATAAATACAGTATGTACTTACGAACTTA